ATGTTTTTATAGTTTAAAAGACTATTGGAGTGATAATTCCTGGGAATAATTCCCAATGTAATATAATATATGTATTTGTTTTTAAATTGTAACATTTATATATTAGGTGCCCTGTTTTATGTTTTTATATTTATATTTTATCTTAATTCTTTGATTTGTTATTCAAGTATGACTAACTATCATTTTTATTCTTAATATGTATATAACATAATATTACAATTATTGACTTATCATTTGTACATTATGAACCGATAATAGTTAATAAAATTATTATTATTATTATTAACGTATTATAGCAATTGTAAAATGGAGACCATAGAACAGAGCCATATTCTAATTTTGACATTACCTAAGCAACATAAAGAGTAATTAGAGCAGATATATTTGAAAAAGATCTGCAATTGCGAACTATGAAGTCATAAACTTTCAATGCTTCTCTTATTTTCGATCTAATGTGGTTGGAAAAAGACACATTTTGATCAAAATATACACCAAGATATTCAATTGTCATGTAGTGACAGTCAAATGGTATCTAATGAATAACTGTACTCGATGACTGACATGTTCCTACTATAAGACACTACTTTTTTGGATGCATTAAGATATAGTTTGTTGACTTCACACCATGTCTGTATATTTTCTGTCGTTACAATGTATTACAATCTTCGATAGTTTCGACAGGTAAATATATTTTTAAATCATCTGCAGAAAAATAACTTATTTTAATCGATATAATTACTGAGGTCAATAATAAATAACAAGAATAGTAATGGTCCGACATTCGATCCCTGAGGTACTCCAGACGAATGACTGTAATAAAAAGAATCAAAGCCGTTATATGATACAAACTGTTTGCGTTGGAGTGAGTAGGATTTAATGAAAAGTACTGCTGAGTTATGGCAGTTATGTAGAAGGTCATGTGATCAAGTCGCTTAAATGCTTTAACAAAATCAGTGTATATCACATCAACTTGACCACGCTTATCAAAGACATCACTAACATTTTGAGTCAATACAATTAAATTTGTTAGGGTGGATCTGTTAGACATAAATCCATGTTACTATTCATGTTACTATACTGTGTCCAAATAGAGCCAATATAAAAGAATTGGAAACTGTGACAGATTCCAAGTTTGATGAACTAGGTATTTCGACCACTTCAAAGCTTATTTAAAATAATTTTTTAACCCTTCAACAGCTAGCGTTAACATACGGTAACGCTTACAAGGTTGTACATCAAGTGCCGCCATATATTTTTGAGGTTAGAAATTTGAAATCTGCGAGAGGGGATATTTACTACATACATATCTCTACTCGTTAGTTCTCATTCGACGTTTACAGCGGCTTGTTAAAAACGCCCTTTTTTTGCAAGCCATGGATTATCGCGACCTTCGATTACAAATGGTGAGGATGACTTAGATGTTCAAGATATATTTATAGAACCTCCGGAAGCAAACGTTTTGACCGATGAAGATTTAGGCGACGAAGAGGAGGGGGGTTTAGTCGATAATCTTAGTGATCAACAATTATTAGCTGGAGCAGAACTATGAATGTAGAGCCAGACGAGCCTGTTCAAGATAATGAAGGTCCGTATACCAGACCAGGACAGGAAAAAATCACTTGGATAAAGAATGGCGGTTTAATTCCAAATAAAAAAGCTTTTCCTGAACCTGATTACTCCAGATTTGAAAATCTAACAGATGCCGAAATTTTTTAGCAGTTCATTGAACAAGAAACTGTTGACTTACTTGTTGAGCAGTCTACAAAATATGCTGTCTTTTTAAATCATTCAGATCCTAAAATTACTTCTGGGGAGATGAAATACGCCATAGCCATCATGATTCTGAGTGGGTATCATGAATTGCCTGGAAAAGACATGTACTGGAGTACAGAAAAGGACTTGAACGTATCCATTGTGTCAGATGCCATGCGTAGAGATCGGTTTGTTCAGAATATAAAAATATTTACACTGTGCTGATAACACGAAACCTAATAATAAAGACAAAATGTGGAAATTACGACCTCTCATGGATGAACTACGAGCAAATTTTATTAAAAATTTGTTCCTGAACAACACCTAAATTTTGATGAATCCATGGTTAAATATTTCGGAAGACATCCCAGCAAACAATTCATACGAGGAAAACCAATCCGATTCGACTACAAGGAATGGTGTTTGAATGCTGTGTCGGGGTATCTTGTAAATTTCGATGTATACCAAGGGAACAATCCTAGGGGAAATACTTTCTATGAAAATGGATTCGGAAAATGTGCAGCTTCTCTTATCAACATGATTGACGACTTTTCTCCTGATGTGTCTAAACTTCCATTACAATTCTTTTTTGACAATTTTTTTACTGGTTTCAATATTTTATATTACTTGAAACAACGCGGCTATGATGGAACGGGAACAATCCGCGACAACCGTAACCCGAAAAGCTGTCCATTACCTGCGAAAAATATGTTCTCTAAATCTAAATATCAGAAAAGAGGTGATTACGTATCAGCTATTGATAAAGAAGATGGAATCATTGTTGTGAAGTGGCTGGATAATAATGTTGTTAACGTAGCCTCTACCAGTCATGAAGTAAACCTCACTTCTTTAGTGAAAAGATTCTCTCAGAAAGAAAAAAAAATTATACAGGTATCATGTCCATCGCTTAAAACCGAATACAACCGCTTTATGGGAGGAACCGACCTTATGGATGAAAATATTTCAAGATATCGTATATCCTTCAGAAGGAAAAAGTGGTGGTGGCCCATTTTTACTTGGTTGCTGGACACAAGTGTGGTGAATGCATGGTCTGTTAGGCGAAAATGCAGGTGCAAACCACCAATAAGTCAACTAAATTACAGAAGACAAATCGTTTTGCATTATCTCAAGGTATACAAAACAGTTTCAAAAGGATCGGAAAGGCCATCTACATCCAAAAACAGCGTTACTCTAAACTCGGCATCTGATGATATTAGATATGATCAGGTTGGCCATTTATTAGTTTCAACTAAGGATAAAAAAAGAAAACGTTGTGCCGGTGAAGGTTGCTCCTCAAGCATCCGAACAATTTGTTCTAAATGTAATGTTGGTATACGTATAGACTGTAACTATATTTTTCACACAAAATAAACATTTTTGACAATTTGCAACAGATATTTGAATTTCTACTATTTTGTACATCACTAATGGTAACGGCACTCATATCACAAAAGAAATAAAAAATATATCAAAAAGTTGTTGAAAGAGTCTAACTTGATCATAAAGATTGGGAATTACAACCTGGCACAGCATATTTCTGGAAAAACATAATTCCGTCGTTGAAGGGTTAATATTTATGAAATTCCAATTAGTTCAGGAGATATTCGTAAAACAGTGAAACTTGACAATATTATTTTAATTTTTTTCTGACGTTATTTGGAAGGGCATTGAAAAAATACTTAAGCAATGCCATTTTCAAGCTACACAAGATGGCGTTCATTTAGTAAAATACTTTTAGGTACTGGTAGCAATATTATATGATTATACACATACAATGATAGCACTTTCTTTTACCATTAACCTTGCTCTGAAAATTATTAATTCTCAACATAAAAATTTGTAGGTTGACGGTAAGTCAATAAAATGAGTACCTAGAAGTTGCAATTCAAAGTGAGAAAGCAAACAAAATATACAGTGCTATGAATGAAAAAATTACCCAAAAACACTAGTAAAAACAGGAAAACATTGTATGTAAAGTCTTGTAACCGATAAATATACCGTGGCGGGACGATAACCGGTTGGGTTGGAGATAATAATAATAATAATAATATTTATTCATCCTCAAAGACGTTGACAAACGTATAGGATAGGTCAGTATTAAGCACATAAAAATCACATCAAACGATAAAATTGTAGATCAGTAGATAAAAATAATACAATAAAAATTTATACAAATAAGTCAGAATTACAAAAATTAAAACAATTGTAGTTATAAAAATTGAATATGTCATGCCGAAGCCGCATGAACCCATTCAGTCGAGATGGTCCGAGAGAAATTCGCCAATACTATAGTAGGCCTTAGAAAGAAGCAATGTTTTGACTGCTTTTTTAAATGCTACAGTGTTCATCTGTTTGAAATGGTCTGGTAACCGATTGAATAATTTTATTCCCATATATTTGGGAGAATGTTCGAATTTTATAGTTTTATGTTTAGGAATGCTCAACTCCTCTGCATATCGAGTTGGGTAGCTATGATAGAATGAGTTCTTAGTACAGTCTGTTATACATTCGCGAATATATAAAAGTATTTTAAAGATACAGATGCAGGGAGAGGTTAAAATTTGATGACTAATGAAAAATGTCTTGCATGATTCCCTCCAAGGGATGCCTAGTAATTTCCTAACAACTTTTTTTCGAGCAATGAAAACCCTATCTTTGTCAACACTGTTTCCCCATAGGATCACATTATAACTTAGATGGCTATAGACCAGACTGTAATATACATCTAAAATGGCGCGTAAAGGCATACAATTCTTAATTTTTGAGATTGCATAATACCCTTGATTGATTTTTTTACAAACAACTGTGATATGGTCAGACCACTTCAAACAGTTGTCTACATGGTTCATTTTACTCATTCAACTGACTGCTATGTGAAATGGTGCTTCAAGCCTTATATTCAGATGATCGATATTCACTGCTTATCGTCCGCTCTGTACTAAGAATCGCATGTTGAAAGGTTAAACATCGTTAATCCTCAGCTCGCACAAGTTTCAACTCTTGAGGATTGCATTCGTAGGGGTGCAACAGTTGGTTAAAGAAAAACATTTTCAACAAATTTGATACAGATAATAAAAACAGATATAAGTGATTGAGTTCAAGAATGTAAAAAAATATAAGACTAATCCAGAAGATATAGATACAAAGGGACTCTGAAAAATGTGAATCCAGGAATATTTGTGAATGTGAACGAGAAGAAACTGGAGACAGATCAAGAATGTAAAAAGTGGTTTCAGAGATAAAAGTATTTCAAACGGGACCATGAGGTGAACATTGAGCTCATGTTATAAGTACCTCCAACAGGACCATGGAGTGAACATTGAGCTCATGTTATATTATCCATGATAATAATTACACAATTTTCACAAACATTTTAATTTCTAGATGTGTTTTGTTAACACAGTTGCTTTCTCAGTAAAAATGAATAATACACACTGGGCTACTCAAATGGTTATTAGTGAAAGCGATCTCAGGTAGAATCACACTCTTAGTTCTTGGACATCAGGTAAATTTTGAATATTCATAAACTTCTTGGTATTATAAAAAAAAGTTCAACAATGGTGAGTGGTCCTCCACCTGTTGGTCGTTCAGTAGGGTACCCGAACTTTTACCCTTATTTATTTCCAGCAACTCCAGCAGGTTCAACTTCTGTCCCTTAGCTTCTTCATAGAATATGTCGTACATAGTGTTGAAATCGTGATCGTTCTCTAAAGATACAGGTCAATCCATTCATAATCATGTAATATTATCATAATGTTACAATTAGGAATGGATCATTTTGGAAAGTCTATTTTCAATGCAAAGTTTATTGATTATGTCGCAAATGTAAGGACACATTTTTTATAATTATTATTAGCAATTTGTTTATAAATCTGAAAATCACCACAACCATTTTTATTCATCAACATACCTATCTCCTGTTTCTGCCCAAGCACTTTCCAAACTGAAATCTGGTCTTTCGTTGATTGTGGCTAATTTTGACATGATCCTGAAAAGTCGACCATTTTGTATTTCTTTCGAAAGCTCATTATCGAGAACTTCAATATGGTTGTGGAGGTTATCCAGTTGAGTATAAAATCGAGCACCAATCATTGGCATCAGATCAGTGACACTTCTCCTTTGTTGAGAAGATAACAAATACATGATGAGATTTCGAAGATCCGGTGTATATGAGCGACCTACAATATCTAATGCGGTAGATATGTTCTCACGTTGAACAGCCATGGTAGATTTACAGGCGAGAGCTAGAACTAACTTTCCGAGAGCTGATAAGTCTTCTTGTTGATAATGTTGGACTAGAGTTATGTGGTTGATCGTTGAATTCGTTTCTTGAAGTACTACGTCCATTATCCCTAAACAACTTAATCTTAACCTAAAACACAGTTACATGAAATTTGTATAATATGTATTAATGGGCGAGTATAAGAGTGTATTCATTTTCAAGATTTCCTTGAAAGTTTTCCATTTTTTATATCTTCTACCGAGAAGTTTTTTAAAACGTTCCTTCCTAGAAATGAAATAAACATTTTCTAGAACGCAGAAAAAAATATTAGACGAACCTTTTCATAGTATGTATACATTTTACTGAATGATATCATCATCAGAACTTGAGACACACTTCACTAACCAAGCTGGCCTCCTCAATATATAATAATAAATGTTTTTTTTTAACGTAGCAGAGTTCAGCAGGTCCCAATTTTTCCAATCATCCACTTTTGAAAACCATTGTTAAAAATTGCATTATATTCAATTATTTTTAGAACAATGACAAATTCAAATATATGAATGTTTATATTCAGATGACTGTTGACAGACATTTTATTGTATGATTTTAACAAATTATTAACCTTAACTTACTGTCTATGTCATGTAAGTGTAGTATCAGATTTAAAATATCCAGACATTAATTGATATACCAACTGTAAATTATATATAATTGTATAGAGTAGGGAACACAATGCCAGTGCTACCAGAACACATTTTGTGATAAACAGGTGAATACTGGAAGACTACAAAATTTTTACTAATAAACCATAAAAAATCAAAACATGGATAACATATATTCCTTTGTTTAGCAACATGTGCCATGTTGCTAAACATGGCACATGTTGCCATTAGTTGCCATTACGGAAGTGCAAAGTTGAAACAGGAAATATGGATGGAAACTTAGTACCCAGATGACATCCTGTATACTGGACTAGACAATATGTAATCCAGCCATTTGATATTGTTTTGACATACAATAAAAAGAAATACCAAATATTTTGTAGACATTAAAAAAAATAATGCACTGAAAATTCAAATAGATTATCTTTTCTAAAGACATTTGGAAAATAGTTGAGTATGAAAATTGCCTTCCACTCATTTTATTCACGATAATTCAATTACTAATTATACTTTTTCTATAGGAAGGAGTTCATATTAAATAACTTTTCAGTATAGCATTGCATTGTTTATGCAATCAATTCAATTATTTCTTTTAGATTATGGAAGAATCTAAACCCAGAAAAACCTTAACATTGACTTCTCCATAAAAAATACCCTAAAAATATACTGAAATTGTTTGTGTTACCTATTTCGAGAATTGATAATGATTTTTGTTGGATCCAAACTTCGGCAAGCCAAACCTGCTGTATGTATTATTCTGAGAGCAGAAGTCAACTGTATAATATAGTTCCAAATTAGAGGTTCAGGAAGCTTGTTGTTTTGAGTGTGTCTCAACAAATTATTCTTTTGATAGCTGTATGGTCTCGGAGTTGAAGCGTCATTGATGAATGGATCAGAATAACCAGGCTGATCAGGAGAGAAATGTTTGTTCAAGAGAGTTTCAGATCCTGGATGGTAATCATAAACAAATATCATTGAATTATCACCAAATGCTTTTGTTGTAAAAACCTCCTTCAGCTGAACTATATTGGAATGACTCAGTTTCTTCCACAACTCAACGAATGCCATACATTTTGTATTCGACAAACGAAAGCCGTGGATTCTTCTTAAGCAGTAGTGTGCACCTGTTTTAATATGGGTTGCTTTGTACATTGACGCTTGGTAGCCCAGATGAGCTTTGTGCAGAGTATTGGGTATGGGTTCAAGGGGAAACAACTGGTGATAGCTGTCTACCTCTTGAGGAAGATCGGGGTGTTGCAAGGGGTCAGGTTGCATCAAAGTTAAAACATTTCGGTTTAAAATATCGTTACGCAGGTCTTCTGATAGAAAGAACGACGGTTCTTTTTTTCCAGTATAAACACTGTAGTCTGCTGGTAGACTAGTATTTAAGGGGGTTTCTGCACGTTGTGGGCTTTCCTGGGTAGCGGAGTACTGATAAAAATATGTGGTTCCACCAACATTTTCTTGGTAAGCAGGTAAAAGTGGGCTACTACCCACTGGTTCTGTTTGTAGAGGTGAACTTATCACAAGAGATGAATTGTTTACCAAAGGTGGAGATGTGCATTCTGGAGTGACCCGTGCTGATATTTCACCTTCTTCACTTTTTTTTGTAATAGGATGGAGAACAGGAGAATTTGAAACTGAAGCAAATGAGTTTAAAAAACTCGGTGAGGCGGATGCACTTGTATTCACAACTCTGGGAATGAATTCACTTGCATGAGCTGAAAAAAGTCTTGAAAATGACCAAAAAACTCAAAACTATTTTCATTTCATTACTTGCTCTTGCTAAATCAAGTCGAGAAGAAAGTGAACGGGAATGATTATGAGCCATCCAATCCATGAGTTTTTATTTAGTTATTTCTCAGAATCACTTATTTTTATCACTGTAACTACAATTGACTAAGTTTTTTGCTACATATATTCAATGTTCAACTTTTTCAATAAACTAAAAGGTATAAGCATATTGAACTCCATTTCCAAAGTGAAATTCTCGACTTACGTTATGACAGATAGAGACCTCGGACAATATTTCATAAAGGTATGTTCGGAGTTTGAAATTTGGAGCCGAGTGAGCAGGTGCAGATTTGAAACCACGTGATCACAGGGTCATTGGAGTGAAATATATTTAACGAACGCTCGATTGTGTTTGAATGACAAGTTGACATTTGTGGTATGATTTGTTATCATAAAACCTGTAATATGTGATCGATGAAGTTTTTACTGTAACACTGTGATTTATAATTTTACTTTTGATATGCAAACATTTTTTCATAACTATTTAGAAATTACCAATCCTAAATTTGATCTCGGAGCTAACATATTTTTTCCTTGCTCATGTAATATCGAGAACGAAGCAGATTTAACTGATTTGCATTATCGTACGCTTACCGAAGGGAGAGAGCTAAATAAGCGCCCAGATTTGTAATAAATAAACACACCTATAGATTTTACTGACATTATGTGTTTAATTTTGTTGTGTTTTTGATGTGTTTTGTTGTTATTAATTATGTTCCAGTTTGTTACCCGTTACTTTGCATTTTCAAACAAGTGCAATTCGTTAGCACCAATCTTATTTCAGATCTATTATTACCCCCAGAAGTTATTTGTTCCCTATGTTTGATCAAAATATCTCGAGCAGATACAGTAAATAACTTTTGACAAAAACGACTTAATCCGGAATGAGATTGCTGCACCTTACAGGTATCGATTATTTAGTGTGCAGCGACAGTATCGCTGGATTTTGGTTCTGTGAATGGAATTCATTCAAATAATAACAAAAGCAAGTGATGGCGCTAAACAAAGATCACAAGAAGTGTTAGTTTTCAATGTTGGAGTTGAGAATAAATTTTATCGATTTCGTAAATTTGTCGATGGAATGAGGAGTTTCTTATTGAATGGTTCTGGTGTGAAGATTGATTTAAGAAACAGTGAACAGTGGAGCTTTTTCAACTGCTCACTGCCCAAGTTTGTTGACCCCTCAACACCAAAGTGCCGCCAGATGAGTGTCTTCTTTAAGGTATTCTGCGACTGGATTTTCTTCAAACTCGCTGCCTCTAGTTAATATCACTTGTCATTCTTGAACGTTCATCAGGGATCAGGGATAGCCTGAGTTGCTGAGGCCGTCCAATGGAATGAAAAGAAGAAATAAGAAGAAGAACGTACATAACAAGATTTATACTTAAGGTCACAGCACAGAATATTGTATTAGTATTCTGTGATCACAGTAAAAAGTATTTTCTACTGTGACTTGGGCCTTTCCTAAGCTATAGTTTGTTTGACAGTTTGACTTTTAACCTCAAATATTGGAATCTTTCAAACAAAATAATATATTTAATTTAATTCCTTATATAGGAACACGTGCAATTGTAATTAAGAATCGAAAATGTCTGATGAAGATATGGATGTTTTAGAAATGGAAGAGAATGAAAAAATAGCAGAGTCTTCTGCATGTGAAGATCATGAAACCAGTACCGAGGAAACTAAAGATGTTTATCTACCTGGTAAACCATTAGAAGAGGGCGAGGAACTTGTTTGTGATCAAACTGCATACGTAATGTATCATCAAGCTCAGACTAGTGCTCCATGTCTCAGTTTTGACATAATTAGGGATAATTTTGGAGATAACCGAGAACTCTTTCCTCTAACAGCATATGTGGTTGCTGGCACTCAAGCTGCACAGTCTCAGACAAATAATGTTATTGTAATGAAACTATCCAATTTACATAGAACAAATCAAGATGAAAATGATGATTCTGATGAGGAAGATGATGATCATGAGGATCCTAAAATGACTGGAGCTCTAATCAGACATCAGGGAGGTGTTAACAGAATTAGGGTAAGACTTCTGAATAATTTGGTTTCTAGCACTTGTAGGCCTGAAACACAGTCTCACAGAAACTAAAACCAATTTCTTTTAATGACTTGCCAGTTTTCAAATATTTTTCAATTGATAGTACGTATTTTACTTCACCGAGTATGAATTTGAATTTTAAACTTGACAATTTGATCTAGTTTTGGACATGAAGCCACTCAAAAGTGGTAGGCACCAATAAATTCATTATTTCTATAACTCAATTCTGGCAATAAATACTCATAAAACGATACCTTCTTTCCAGGTTCGCATGCTATGGACTTTTGTTCACCCATTCATTTCACAAAATGAATAAACACTTCTATTTCACCGAAATAATCCTATTTTTAGAATCTTATTTTAAAAGATTGTGAAATTTTTGTACTTGAATAATAAAAATTATTGAACTCAAATTTACTTCACTTGGCTTGGATTACTAGGCTTCAAATTTTATGTATTTATTAAATTTCTCATGTTGTAGGTTACCACAATAGATAATAAGGTAATTGCTGCCTCATGGAGTGAGTTAGGTAGAGTGAATATTTGGAACATTTCTCCGCAAATTGCAGCTGTTGATGATGACCAATTACTTTCCACTTATAACAAAGAAAATAGAGCAAATTCTACTACTCCACTCTTCACATTCAACGGTCACCAAAAAGAAGGTTTTGCTTTGGATTGGAGTCCTACAATCAATGGGGTAAATAGTTTCACAAGATTTTTTATGAATAATTTACTTTTCCACAGTGATATCAGTTAGGAAGGAAGCTAGCATTTTTTAAAATTCGGCAGGTATCTACAATGAAAGAAAGGTCTAGATAGAAGAATTTAAAAATACGTGTGGTGGCTCTTCCTGATTGTGAATTTGATAATAAATAACATCTGAATGATAAAAGGATTCGTGATGCACTGTTTGGAGCCTTCAGTGTAGTAACGAATATTACTGGAGTTTTATCCCAAGGTGGTAAAATAATGGTTGGTTGTTGGGATAAAACTCCAGTAATATTGATAACACGATGTCTTACAATTTTTTTTTGAGTGTCGATGGCATCGACCGCTAGGTCTTCAGCTTCGTGTTCTGGGTAAACAATGTTAATAACTTCCCGAGTCACCTAGGAAACATCATGGCTTTGAGACAAACATCTGGTCGAGTTTGGAATCGAACTCACTGCCTTTGGATTGTGTGTCGGGCGCACTATCCCTATACCAATTCACCGCTGTACAAAAATTTATTATTTAAATATATCAATCATCATTAGTAAATATTCCATTAAGAAAATAAAACAATGGTGAAATGCAATATCTCATCCAAAAACAATCTTTCTGAGAAACTCATTTGAATTCTTCAAGATGAACAATATAAGGTTTGTAGATCCTCGAGGCTAGACTTATTGAAGTTAAAGTCATCAGTTGAAATTATTTGTTTGTTTTGATTTACTTGTCAGTTTCAAATTGAATTCCTGACTGAAAAATAATGATACTATGTATTTCTGGCTGTTTTTGGGGTAACTTTCCACAATATTAGGGTCCAATTAGTTACTTGTTGCATTTACAAATTCCACCTACACTAAAATGGAAGATTGAAAATATAAAATTTTAAAACGTAACATTTTCAAAGCGTTCCGGAAAGTAATCCGTTTCCTTTCTCAAAATCCAAAAAATGCACTTGTGCGTTGGGCTCTGTTCATGTTGAAAGAAATCTCAACGTATAGTCTAACCAATTAGTCTCAATTTGTCAGACAAATTGGGATTAAACAATATGTCAGAACAAAGGTTATATCTCGAAATCTCAGCGACTGGCTTAGTAAACTTTTCAGATTACAGTTTTGCAGATTCTCTATTGATTTGGTTTTATTTTTCAGAATGTGGAAGTTTGAATACCTATAAACAGCAAGAAACATTGCTTCTCAAAAAATATCTTACAGATGATATCATTTGTTTTTCAATTGAATATTTTAGGTATTAGCTACTGGAGATTGCAAACAAGCTATCCATATATGGCGGCCTACTGAAAGTGCAACCTGGTCAGTAGATCAGAGACCTCTAATAGGTCACACAGACTCTGTAGAAGAGGTCCAATGGTCGCCTAATGAAAGGCATGTGTTAGCCTCATGTTCCGTAGATAAAAGTATCAGAATTTGGGATACTAGAGCCCAGCCTAGCAAAGCTTGCATGATCACAGCAGAAAATGCCCATCAAAGTGATGTCAACGTAATGAATTGGAACAAAAATGAACCTTTTATTGTAAGTGGTAGGTATCCCTCAATCACCTCAATTTCGCCTGTAACTACAAAACTGTTTTATTATTTTAGGTGGTGATGACGGTATCATACATATTTGGGATTTGAGAAAGTTTCAAAGTAAAGTTCCTCTGGCTACATTCAAACACCACATGGATTCTGTTGTTACAGTTGAATGGCATCAAACTGATTCAACGCTGTTTGCATCTGGAGGAGCAGATAACCAAATTGCTCTCTGGGATCTCTCTGTAGAAAAGGATGCAGAGGGCAGCGAGGATGTTGAGGTGTGTATTGCTAAAGTTTATTCATTTATATGAAATAATAGTTACTGCCGAATTTAATATTGAAATGTACTGATTAACGGAAAAACAGATTTTAAACTCATCCAAATGAATGACAACTCAAAATTCCACACTTCGAAAGTTAATGAATGTTTTTGATAATTAGGATGTGATTAAACAAAACATTTGAATACTTTTGGGTTACCTTTTACGAGGCTGACTGATCATTTTGTAATCAATTATTGAGTGAATTGGAAATTTTTTACATATATGTTCCTTAAAAATCACAATAGTTCAAATGGGTGTAACTCAAGCCAACACAATCAAAGATNACGACCCATAGCTCCCTCGTAAAAACTGAGTAACCGTTTGCAACTGTGTAGCCTTGTTTTATTTTATTCTCTTTGATTTTTTTTTAAACAACCAAAGTTATAAAGATTAATAAATATAATTATCATTATTGGCTCCACAAGTCAACAAATTACAAATTTGTGAAGTATCTATTGAGGTTGTTTATAACTGAATCAATTATATTTTCAGGGCCTTCCACCACAGTTATTATTTATTCATCAAGGACAACACAACATCAAAGAACTACACTGGCATCCTCAACTTCCAGGTGTCATAATCAGCACAGCAGAGAGTGGATTCAATATATTCAGAACAATAAGTGTTTGAACTATTTTTTTATTAAAACTTTTATTACACAAAAATGAATTTCATTCAGGATTTCCTATCAGGTCCAAATTAATGAGATGGCGCATGGTTGGCCTTCCATGTGGACAATTCTATGAAAAAAATATTGTAAGCCATACACAATAATCTCCTTCATAATTACCTACCCATGGTTGGTCAATTTGTCCCATGTGGTCAACTAGTCGCCTCATATCTGATTTTGATAAATGTTTGCCGATCATAACGGAACTTCTACAAGCCCTTGAAGCAAACATAGCTCTTACTCTACTCGGTCTGCACATTTTATGATTGAAACCCTACAGAGAAAATAAAATGCAGTCTGAATAAAAATGTTTTTCAGGTACAAGTCACCTGTAACATGAATAGCATTTCATCAATATCGTCCTTTCCAAAAACGAAATTTCTGCTTACAGGTATTGCTGTTAAGTGAACTTTCTTTGTACAGGGAGCTGCAGAAAAATGTTAATCATTAATATAAATTTTTTTTATATACATTACAGAATTTGATTAACCGATTTTTATCAAAAATTTCCATGAACGAATGAACTTTAGTAATTTCCGTGTAATTCAATGTTTATATTCCTGAAAGTAGTTGTTTCAGATGAACTTTTTCTTTCAGTGTGTATCTGAAAGATGACCTACACATCTTTGTTAGGAGTTTTTTTATCAAAATCAATTACTTTCTTTCTCTATTCGAAATGTTCCCATATTTTTTTGAATATTGATGGAAAAGTAGAAAGCTAAGAGCTTTTTCACAATGACTTATAGATGTATATTATATCTCATAGTTAAAAACTAATTAAAAAAAACAGAAATAAAAATCGAAATTGAACTTTTTTATGGTCAATGAAAGCATCTCATGCTAAGGTGAGTCTAACCCATAAAAAACCATAGTAAAGTATAGAGGCCACTTGAGTATGATATAATGATAAAACTGTTCTTTTAGTAAGTAATTTGTTCAGATGACGAAACATATGTTAAGCATGTTCACCAGTTCCAAGAATAGTAGTTTTTTTCTCTAGTGCTTAGTTTAGTGTTGAGAGTAACATTCAACTGTACATATTTTTTGAACATTATAATTATTACTTGTGATGCACTGTTTGGAACCTTTGGTGTAGTAATGAATATTACTGGAGTTTTTTCCCAACACCAAATCGTTATTTTTAACACCTCGACACGTGTTTTATCAAGGAACATTGTTCTTGATACATAATCACTATAACAAATGAGAAAAGTTGTCATTTTAAAATACTTGAACTTACCAGTATTCAAGTCTTGCATTACCAATTCCCAAACGAAGACTGGTAAAGGGCTCTATTATATATAATGGGTTAAAAATATTCATCTGCCTTCAAATCAGGAATCGAGTGTGTAAATTGCTTTTGCCCATGTGCAGGGTCAAAATTCTAAAAATTACCCATGTATATGTTGATTCGCTAAATTCAACCAGAGGTAATACATATCATCAAAAAAAGGTTGGTTTTACTTAGTTGTTTATAATTTTTATGATTGAATATGATGAATTGGCATGCACAGTTTAGGTAACAATAGTGCTGCATACAATATCTGCTGTCTTCATGAAAAATTCATAATTGAAGTTGAATGAAAGATAAAAGTTGATCCTCCATGAATCCACTTTAATTTAAAGCAGTGAAAAATAAATATCTAATGATACAAGACAGTTTTGAGAATACATTTTCATGGATGGTATAGTTTGTGGTTGATAATTAATCATTATCTCAGTGCTGAAATTTCATAACTAATTACTTTTTTTTTTAAACAGTATTTGATGAAACATTGGAATAGTACACCAAATGTCATTTTATGGAATCTCAACTTGAAATACAGGCCAATATGGTGGATGTACATTGGGATTCATGGCTTAGCATGGATCACCATTTATGTTGGAAATATTTGTTGTGATGTTACAGAATTGTTAGGATTGAAACAGGTATGAATATTGTTAAATATATATGCTTTTGTATCGAATCTACAACATTACTACATTACTATTCTTGGGTTGAAATATAAAATCACTCAACAAAACACCACCAAGTGAACTTTGATTGTGAACTGGTCAACAAAACTTCTGAATTTATCCTGACTACAATTGTAAACCAAATATACTTTCTTACCAGGTAGCCATTTTGGGTTGTTTCAAAACTTTTGCCAGTTTTTATGAATCTACTTTGAACTGTAATACCTCAGTGAATCATTCAATTTGATCGTAATACGTGTCATTTGAATTAGTGCATTTTTGCCAACGTAAATCTCAGGCAAACTTGTTGATTCCATTTACATATTGGAAAATGTATTGTACATTTTACAATTTCAACTATGTACCTTAACACTTATAAATATAAGGATAACAGATAAGTGGTAGTAGCAGAAGTTATTCATAAAAAAAAATAGATGCAGAATCACAATACACACCCGATTCATCTATTATGAATGAGAACCCATTTTTCTTGAAAATGTCCAAATTTTCTATCAAAAGGTTTTCACTGCCTGTAGTTAGTTCCAGAGCTTTGGGGCTGAAAGCAATAAAAATGTATTACATATTAATTATCAAGAAAATATTACTAACTTTACCAAAACCTGGCTGTCAATGACAGTATTCAGTTGGAGCTGCTCGAAGTTGTATTTTTCATCAGTAGCATGTTGGTCGATTATAAATAAATCATTGCTCAGTTTTGTTATAATGAAACCTAGATTAAACTGCCCGACAATTTCCATTTTACTAAAATCCGTTTTCTGAATCTGTTTTTGAAGTTCTTCTTCTGCTGATTTGTTATTATCCGGGCTGATTTCTGATCTGAATTTTACCGTGATGCTTTTATCTTTTTTTGGATCGTCCTTGGTTTCCAAAACTTTTTTTATTTGATCAAGGGTGATATTAAAAACTACAGATTTTTTCGTTACATTATTGTCAACGGGCTGATCAAGACTTATTTCCAAATTGTTGGTTTCTGATTCCTTATTCTCTGTTGTATCAATAAGTTGTTCTCGATCTTTTTTACCTGATAATTGACAAGCTAATTCTATTAACATGTCCAGATCTTTTTCAGCTTCGGATTCTACACCATCTGAGTTATTTTGGATAGTTTCTTTTTCTTGGTAATCTCTCTCTACTAAAGTATCGTCAATTTTATCTGAAATTTTATTTGAGAAAAATGAAAATGAATTGAGAGATTTTCTAGGGCTGGGATCTGTCTTCGATCGCTTCTTGAACATTTCCCTTATACTACCATTTTTTATTGTATGTTCTGTCAAACTTCTCTTAATACCTCTCTCTGGCTTACTGCTGAAAGGAATCATTTTGGAAATATCCAAGTTTTGCATTTTATAAGTCGAAGGAAATGTCTTGAATGCTTCTAGTAGTGATTGCTTGATGGTTGCTAATAGTATTTTTTCATTTTCAACAAATACCTGCCTTTTATCTGGTGTCACATTGACATCGACTAATAGAGATGTTGAAACAATATTCAAATATACAAAGGGATACTGGTGACAATTGAACTGCTTGTATGTTTCATTGACAAGTTTCATTATTTTTGTAGGTTCCACAGGACGCGAATTTATGTAGTAAAACTGTCTATCTGTGGCACTTCGGCCACTTCCATGAGTTACACTAGATATTAGAAACTCAAAGGTGAATGGAAGTTGCTCCTCTGCAGCTAACTTTACCCCAAATTCGCTTGAAATGTGGTCATCTGGCATAGCAACCTCAACGTCAATCAATGAAGAAATTTGTTTCGATCCAAAAATATTGATAACATTTTCTCTTACACTTTGTTTACCATCTGTGGCAACAACAGTAGTTTTGACACCCTTACTGGTAACATTGGTACAAGTAAACCTTAAATAGTGAAATGGACAAATCAATATTTCAGAAAATTATCAGATATATACATCTTACTTGATTCCTTTCGAAACTAAGCAATATGCATAAAGAAGTTGACACATTTTGCTGAATTCCCTCTTCAAATTTTTCATGAACTCTTTTCGCCTCACAGGTAACGAAGAAAACAAGTTTTTCAATGTTACCGTTGTACCCTGCTCTCTTGCAGTTGTGATTTGACTCAATATTTCACCATTACGATTGTACGTGATTTTAGTGGCGTGAATTGCAAGTTCGTGTCTTGTACTAATCATCAAATCAGATAAAGCACAAAGAGAACTTAAGGCCTCTCCTCTAAAACCTAAGGTTCCTAAATTTTGCAAATCACTGAATTTGCTGATTTTAGATGTATAGTGTTTCAAAGCTAAAACAAGACAATTTGAAATCATTAAAAAATATCATTAATAAGTATTTACTTAATGCTTTGAAGTTTTCACTCATGACACCAGATCCATTATCAGATACTTCCAGAAGTTCTGATCCATATTCTACTAGATGAATATTTACTATAGTAGCTCCTGCATCTATGGAGTTCTCTACCAATTCTTTCATTGCAATAGCCAAACTCAGTACTACCTAAAATATATGTTTACATAAGATGATCTATTTTATTTGGCATAAAACCTCAAATACTAATTACCTCTTGTAATAATAACGAAACTAGAACTGAAGCTAGTTCAATAAAATGAGTAATGTAAGGCTAGAGTAAATGTGGGAAACTTCCAAAGAAGGGAAGAACAAAATAACAACAATAAAAACTCATACACATACGTTTCTTTTAGATACAAATTGAAAGAAAAATGCTTTTTGAAATAACTACTTTCATATGAACATTGAATTTAACGAAAGAAAAAAATTATTTCGAAACACCTATTGTATTGAATTACAAGTGTATTTTTCCGAATTTTCGAAGTACAGTATTGAGGATGATAGTTTCTACGTACTCTTTCATATATCAAATTGCATAGCATTCAAAACTGAATGTGAGAAAAATTTGCAAATAATAGTTGTATGCATTCAACTATAAAGTTCAGGAAATACTTTAGAATTTTTATGACCCTTGTGACAAAACCACTTCAATCTAAACCTCCCTCATCCCTCCGTTAAGTAAAACATTCAAAGAATCATTCATTTTAAAATGATTTTTATCAATTATCATCAGCAGCATGATGAATCATAAAAGAAAAGACTTCAAGAACAGAATAATGACAGTGGGAAAGAGAAAGAGTGGATAAAGTCTAAAAGTTTGACTTCAGAATAATAGCTGCCGCGGCATTAGCCAGAGACATCCGGAGATCTTATTCAATCAGTTATTAGAAAAATTTGGTTTCAATTTTAATGAAATCATTCTTTATACCTGTCCAGAACATATTCGATGTACTGTATCCCGGTTAATTGCTTTTATTAAATTATCACTGTTGAGTTCAATTATGGGCTTAACTAACTCTTCCATTTCAAGATTTTCCACCTCAACAACAAAAAAAATTTAAAACAAAACATACAGTACAGAATACAAATTTTCAATGTGACCAACACGAACGATGCTTCGATCCCTTTCTAAATAATAGCAATAACACACTGTGGCAATAATAGTCACTGCCTTCGATGTTCGATGAGGGCGCGCGTGTGTTCAACGATTGATGACGGTAAACATTGCGATTATTACAAACGTAGTAAAGTATACTTTATTTTAGGAATCCTAATATACAATATATAATAATGCATATATGAATAATTTAAATACGTATATAATTTTATAGTGAGTCATGTATTATAATTTGATATATTCTAATAATAACTTTTTGAATACTTTTAAGGAATTCACATGTTTTATTTCATCAGGTAACTTATTGAAACTATCTAGACCTTTGAAGAACAATGAATTCATTCCACTCTTATAGTTTGTTCGGGATCTATAAAATGTATTACATGTTCTTTTGTTATATGAATGAATGTCACTATTTCGAACTAAATATCTGCTAAGATAAGCTGGTTGTAACCCACTCGTAATTTTGAAGATAAAAATTATGCTCAAATAATACATTCTTTTATGTACCGGCTGCCACTGTACAGTATTCAACATAGATTCAATAGGGGTATACTGGTTGCATCTCAAAATGATTATCATACCTCGATTTTGTAGTTTCTGCAACTGTCCCATTTGATTTTGATTGAATAGATACATTAATGTGGCACAGTAGTCAAAGTGTGGCCTTATTATGCAGTTGTAACATGTTGGTCTAGCAAAATTTGATAAAGATTTTGAAATTCTAGAGAAAAAATACATTTTCTTACATATCTTTCTAATGATATTTTCGGCATTCTTATTCAAATTTAATTGATGGTCTATAATGAATCCCAGGTACTTAATTTCATTTATAATTGTGAGTTGATTATTGAATATGCTGATATTAACGTCGTTAGTATCAATCTTTCTTTGACTCGAATTTGTTGTAACAATCATTTTCTTAGATTTATTGATATTCAATTTGAGTTTATTCACTTGTAGATATAATTCAATGTTTTTTAAAGATATATTGATATTTTGTACAGCTTTTTTTAAATCACAGTTGTCCGTATATACAAGGGTTTCATCAGCAAATAAATTAATATGGTGTGAACCAGATACATAGTTGATATCATTTATATAAATAATGAATAGCAGTGGTCCCAAAACACTACCTTGTGGTACACCTATTTCATTTATAATTTGATCTGACATTACATCACAAATTTTAGTAATTTGACTTCTTTGCTCAAGATAACTAATGAATGTGTAAAATAAAATACTTTCATAAACGTGGAGAAGGAAAAACTATAACGATATGTAAAAGTCAGTGGCAGGATTTTCTTTTTGTTTCACCATTCGAATATTTCCGATAGATTTTCGATATATATTATTTGGAGAGAAGTGAGAGATATTCGTAACTATTTTTGCAGATTGTCTATCTTGTGTCAAATGATTACTTGTTTAGTAATTACATGTTTGAAAGTCATTTTTATAGTTATTTCAATGATTTCTGTGTATTTTATGCTTAAGAGACTTGTACAATATCCATTCGACTAGAAAGGAAATGACATAATTTTTATAAAAGTTTTTGTCTGACATGTGTGAACAAACACGTGTGTGAAATTCATGAAGTTTTTATCAGGTTTTATGTAACCATGAATATATTACCAGTTCAAAACACTTGAAATTAAAAGTGGACTGGTTCGTATAGAAATTTCTGAAAAAGCAGCCCAGAGAATGTCAGACGTGTTTTATTTGAAAAATTATATTGGCAATGACTTATTAGTAGTTTCAGTAAACAATTATTCTGTGGCTCTGGTTCTATACTGTGGAGCGAATGTGTATGGTAATTATTTCGTGCTGAGCTGAAAATCAGTGTCAAAAGGAAAAAAATCAACTCTGGCAAATTGCTCAAGAAGCAAAGCCATAAAGTAAACAAGCGAGCAACGAGCAAGACAGAATACAGAATAAAAAACAAACTCTAAAATTAGGTTAAGTGCATAACGTAACGTAAACAAACACTAGAAATAAAATATGGGGTTTAAGCGAAATCTATGGAATTTGATAAAATTACTATTGTGTGGATTTGGACTAATATCTACTTTTTATACGGTCATTGAATTTACATATTTTCTATCCATTCCTAACTACACCATTATAAATGAGTCCCATCGAGAAGGTAACATATATAAACATGAGTTATAGCACAAACTTTTTAACTCATGCCAGTTATTTTTAGTTCCTTGGGAAAAAACATCTCTGGCCATGTTACGTAATATGGCATTATTAACACTATTTATTATTCAACATTCATTATTGACATCAAAAAAGATTAAAGATGCCTTCAGTGCCTACCACTTGCAAGAAATATTTCGGAGTCTATACGTAATTGCCACTTCTGGAGTATTATTGGTACGTATTTATGTATATGTCGCTAGCGATTTACCTTGGTTTCAACAAAAGTATAGTCTAATTTATGCCTCTTAGTGTAAAATTTGTTCTTCATATAGAGATCAGTTCAAGGCGTTTCAGGTTGTACCTGGAGAATCGTAGCCAGTTGTTATACACTAACCACTATTCACAGTTTGCCCCAAGTTTTATTATTACAACCTCTTTTATTCTTATTATATCATCACTGTGTAGATGACACTATTACAGTTTAGTACAACATTGATGAAGTTTCTTTGCCCAATGAGACTCAACAAGAACTTGAAATAACTTTTATCTAATATCCCACAACTAATCTGTTAACTTTTAGGTGTGAATCGGTTACCATAATACTAGATTCATGAATCAATAGTAATTCTACCTGCACAAATTCTTAGGTCTACCATGTTGATAGTAGCTTGATAATCAAGGAACATTGTTCTTGATACATAATCACTATAACAAATGAGAAAAGTTGTCGTTTTAAAATACTTGAACTTACCAGTATTCAAGTCTTGCATTACCAATTCCCAAACGAAGACTGGTAAAGGGCTCTATTATATATAATGGGTTAAAAATATTCATCTGCCTTCAAATCAGGAATCGAGTGTGTAAATTGCTTTTGCCCATGTGCAGGGTCAAAATTCTAAAAATTACCCATGTATATGTTGATTCGCTAAATTCAACCAGAGGTAATACATATCATCAAAAAAAGGTTGGTTTTACTTAGTTGTTTATAATTTTTATGATTGAATATGATGAATTGGCATGCACAGTTTAGGTAACAATAGTGCTGCATACAATATCTGCTGTCTTCATGAAAAATTCATAATTGAAGTTGAATGAAAGATAAAAGTTGATCCTCCATGAATCCACTTTAATTTAAAGCAGTGAAAAATAAATATCTAATGATACAAGACAGTTTTGAGAATACATTTTCATGGATGGTATAGTTTGTGGTTGATAATTAATCATTATCTCAGTGCTGAAATTTCATAACTAATTACTTTTTTTTTTAAACAGTATTTGATGAAACATTGGAATAGTACACCAAATGTCATTTTATGGAATCTCAACTTGAAATACAGGCCAATATGGTGGATGTACATTGGGATTCATGGCTTAGCATGGATCACCATTTATGTTGGAAATATTTGTTGTGATGTTACAGAATTGTTAGGATTGAAACAGGTATGAATATTGTTAAATATATATGCTTTTGTATCGAATCTACAACATTACTACATTACTATTCTTGGGTTGAAATATAAAATCACTCAACAAAACACCACCAAGTGAACTTTGATTGTGAACTGGTCAACAAAACTTCTGAATTTATCCTGACTACAATTGTAAACCAAATATACTTTCTTACCAGGTAGCCCTTTTTAATTTACATTGGGTTGTTTCAAAACTTTTGCCAGTTTTTATGAGTCTACTTTGAACTGTAATACCTCAGTGAATCATTCAATTTAATCGTAATACGTGTCATTTGAATTAGTGCATTTGACACGTGTCAAATAATTCCGTCAGAATGAAAATGGTGGGCTCCGTTTTAGCCTGGTCCTGATTTAGTAAAGGTTCTATCAGTGAGAAAGTCGATTGGTGAGAGGTCTGGTGAGTATGGTGAGTGAGGCGTAAGTTAGACTCCATATTCGTGACGGTGATTTGTGAAACGTGCGGACGGGCGTTGTCGTTGACCAGTGCAGGCTGTCGCAATTTACAGTACATTTCGTCGATTTCCTCACAATAGGACTCTGCTATAATAGTTGCAGAAAATTATAGTGAATCACACCTGCCGCTGACCACCATACAGTAACATTTTTTTTGTTGGTGGGTTTTTGGCTTTAGAAAGTGCCTGGTGGCTCATCGGTGTTCAACCACTGTCCTGAAAATCTTCTGTTGTGGTAGAGTATCCACTTTTCATCACAAGTGACGATCAGTTCCAAAACAGGATTGTTTTGGTTGTGCGAAAGCAAAGAAGAATAGATCTCGAAACGTGACAATTTCTGTCGATCATTAGAATCGTGAGGCACCCACGTTTTGAGTTTCTTGACCTTTCCAATACGTTTTAAACCATCAAAAATCGCATGGGAGCTGACGCTGTTCTACTGCTATCCAACTCACCGTTTGTGAGGTTAGTCTCCAACTCCAACAGGATCCTCAAATCTTTGTCTTGGATTTTATATGGAATTTACTCTGAATTGAATACTGGTGAAGTAGCCGCCGCAATTTTTTGTGATATTTCAAAGGCGTTTGATTGCGTCCATCTTAAAATTTTACTAAAAAAACTTCATAAATATGGATGTAGAGATGTAACGAACATTTGGTTCGAATCATACCTTTCAGGTCGGAGTCAAATGGTGAGGACAACATAACTCTCGGAGAACAGGGCCATTGATTCTGGTGTACCACAGGGTTCTGTGTTAGACCCTATTCTATTTCTGCTATATATTGACATATCTGGTAGTTTCACACTATTCACGGATGATACTACAATATTGTGGAATGAAAAAAACGCAGTGGAGCTAAATAAAATAATATCATCTGACTTGAAGAAGGTGAAGAGCTGGTGCGATGCAAATTTACTCTCAATGCATCCAAAACGAATATAACATCATTCAAATGTTCTCTTAATGAAATTCCAATAGATGCTGTAATATTACAAACAAATTAAACACAAAATTTCTCGCTGTATTCATTGATAATAGGCTGAAATTTGATGAAACCTTAAACAACTCAAGAGTAAGATCTCCTCTGGATGTTATACAGTAAGAGTGGTTTCAAATGAGTTGGGTTTCCATATCGCAAAGACCATTTACCATGCACTCATTGAATCTCTACATGTTATGGAATACCATTTTGGGGAGCATGCAACTCATCCCTTCTCTCTACTGTATTGATATTACAGAATAGGACACTAAGATGTCTCTGTAAAGTAAAACCCAGTGAATCGTGCAGGAACTTGTTCACTGCCAATAAAATTTTAACAGTCATCACACTTTTAATCCTAGAGACGGTTTGCCTTATTTATAAACATAAATCGAAGTTCAACTTTGCCTCTACTCCTTATGCTACTTGTAATAGCAATTATACCTTTAGACTTCCCATCCCAACTTCTAATTTAATCAAGGATTCCATATACTAAGATGGTGGTAGGTTGTTTAATCATTTACTATTAGAAATGAGATCTGCAAATCTAGGCAACATTCATTTTGAAAAGGCGGTGAAGAACCTACTTGTTGATAAGCCCTATTATAGTTTGGAAGAGTATTTTAGGGAATCCTTTTAGCAATAAATTAACAATATATTCTTTGTACCATCACTTTATACATGGTGGTGTTTTATCTATACATATTTAGAACTTTTTCTATATTTACATTGTATTTCTTGGAAATTATCAATAAGATGCAAATTTTCGAACAATAAAGTATATTTTGATTTGATTTGATTACTGTAGCTCGACTACTTTGGGGCACGAACGGAACGAAATTTAGCAAACCACCTTCGAACAGTGCGTTGATTAAAACTGTCGTTGCCAAATGCCTGTTTAATTTTTCGGGTTTTTTTGTCGTTCTTTGGTTCAGTTTGAATTCGTAGAGAAAAATTGACCAAAAATAGCTCAATGACATCATATAATAAGCCTAAAAGAGGCAAAAAATTAAAATTTGAAAAAAAATTAACGGCATTAATGTATAGGATACACAATTCTTTATCAATCGTTATATACCACGTTAAATCAGTATAATACATTTTTATTAAGATATGGAGCTACAAAACACAAGACATTAAAACGGACAAAACTTTTGAAACAACCTAATACTTTGCTAATATGAAATTTAAATCTATCTCCACATTTTAAAGTACAAAATTCAGAAAACACTGAGAATTTGTTATATACTTTTGATTTATTGAAAAAAAAAGAGGAAATTATAGGTCTTATTGACCATTTTCTGGGACTGTCACCGTCCACAATCTGAAAAAATAAATTTGTAATGAAGAATACACTTGTAGTAAATACTAACTTCTAGCTGACCTCGAAAAGTTACTGCAAAAATTCAATATATTTGTATCAAAGACATCATCAATAATTTGTCATTGTTAATGATTTTGCTTAAAAAGAATTAAGAATTTTACAGGGCTGCTGCAGGATTAAAAATCAGATATACCATGAAATGACACAATAGCAGTAAACTGATATTAGCGATTTGGAGACCCAAGTTGGGCTAAGTCTGATATTAGAGATTCAGAAACCAAAATTCGACTGCAGAATTGAAAATCATCCATACCAGAAAGAACCAGAATGGCAACAAACTGATATCGGAGAACACCTTGTACTACATCCAATGTTTGAAAAGTCACTTAATAACTTTGATGTATTCAAAAGTTTTGACATCTATAGACAACATTTGAAAATGACACTTTCGATAAATAAAACAGAGCCGCCATAGTTCGGTCTCCCAAACGTCAAAATAAAATTCAAACCTTTTTTTCAAGTGGCAAAATTATTTAAAACACGTTACTGATAAGGAGAGGTACATACATTTTTCTATGTGAAAAATATATTGAATTCACACATATCGAGGTAACCTGAAAGTTTGTCCTTTCTACATCTGTATAAAGTTCTTCATTACAAATTTTTTATTGTTTCAGAATTTTGGTTTATTATTAAAAATCTTTTTCAACCAACTGTTTTTTAGATAAATTGATGGATGTAGCCGTTACTACGTGAAAAGAGAAATGAAAATTTTTATTTCTATAAAAGTGGTAAGAAACATAGAAATTTTCATTTCTCTTTTCATTGTTTTTTAGATGTTAAATTCACTTAAATCATATATTTTAGGTTTACTACAGTATTGTGAACCTACCGGATCCTAATGTTAGAAAATCCATTCAGTTACAAAGACTCAATTCTCACATGAGACATCCCAGCTTCTTGGCATTTGTGCTTATATTTTGGTTATATCCAATAATGAGGTAAGGTGAATTTTTTGAATATTAATTTGAAATAATTTGGATTGTTTTCAGCTTGGATAGAATATGGCTTGCCTCAATTTTCACAGGATACATGTATTTGGGCTGGAATCCCGATGAAAGTGATTACTACTACCATAAATATCAATTTGATAGAAAACACCATGAATTGGAGCACATGAAAATACATGAATACTGAGCTAGCCCTTTTTTGGGAGATTCATATTGATCCTTGAACAATAAAGTATGCACATCAGGTCATCAGATTATAAGAGATATGAGTGTGTAGTTAGGCCAAAATTCTCACCTGGTTTTTATATTACTAAACTTAGACCAATCGTTTCAATAAGCAAAGGAATGTTAAATACTTGATTTTATTTATTTATGACAAGCAACAACCATTAGGGTTTGATTGATACGTGGACAATGGACATAATAGTATTTTTTTGTTTGATGAATTTTCATTTATATATTTGAATGCTTGCAGTTCACCAGATAATATTCTTTTCATGGAAAACATTCGGTGATTTATGTTTAAACTTAAACTAGGTTATGGTTTGAATGTAGGAAGAGAATTCTAAATTTCAATATGGTAGTAGGAATGGCACATGTTGTAAGAATTCTGAAGTCTCTTTCTAGATTTTACAAACTGTACCTGATTTTCATTAAAACCCATGAAATGGATCAAAATGATCCTAAGCTAACGCATAAATGCATTTTTACAATAGATAGATGTATAAAGCAACCCTTCGTAGGACAAATATGAGCATACATACTTTCTTAGAAAATGAATATTCTGTATTGAAATTCGAAACATCTATCTCTCCCAACGTTCCTACACAGCAGAATCTGGATAACGCCTGCCGGTAAATAACTAATCCAATGCCCATCCTGATATTAGCCAAGGAGTTAGTTATTTACTATTGCATTTCCATATACCAAAGTAAAAAATCGAAAGTTCTCGGTGACGTCGAAACGAAGTGTGGAGTCAATTTCGTTCTTTTATCATAGGCGTGCGCTCATATAAAAACGAAATGTAAGGTTATTATAGAATATTTTGTGGTAAATTACTTATAACCAATATATTCGCTGATAACAACAGCGAATAAACTAAACACAATATCAATTTCCGATCGTTTATTATAACTAATCCGATGTCCGTGGTACCGTCAAATCCTTCGATACTACAGCACTGAACTCGTTGGATGGGAGTCTCATCTTAAGAGCGGTTGAAGGTCCCCGACAACTCGGGCGGATCACGTGGTAAGAGAGCCTACTGGTTGTATTATTCTACTGTGCCCATGCAGGGAAAAAGCATCCCGTGTGCTGTGACTCTTAACATATATGTTTTACCATTGTTTCAAATGTATTTTTACTCCAATTTGTTATATTTTGAATACTATTTTTACCATGTTTCTTACCTGCAGTTGATATAGTAAAGAAATTGATAAGATTGAAGGTAAAAGAAATAACTAGTTTATTTCTTGTCATGGAAACTCTATTCTCATACACATTTGAATTTTGAAAGATATGATGAGTTCGCAAAATTTACTGTTTTTAAGTTGCATATACCTCGATTTTTAAAACCACTACCGACATGTTCAAGTACAGCAACATTCAACGAAACATTCATCTCTCCAAAGATCCCATATAGAAGGATCTGGCAAATGCCTACCAGAAAACACATAATCTAATGTCCGCCGTGATATTATCCAGAAAAGAAGTCATTAATAAGTACTGCTACAAATCTTGACATTTTATGGCAGCCACATCTTGCGCCTGAAAAGTTAGTATTGCACTTGCAGCCACCTTTAGGTGATATTTTTACAGATATATAAAGGAAGTAGTTGTTTTTTGTCAGGCATTTGCAAGATCTTCACTGTATAGGAACGTTGAAAGAGGTGAATGTTTGAAATTTCAAGTTGAAATATTATTTTCTTATACATTTCAAAGTTTAAAATTCAAAGAAATTTGGCCTAATTGACTATTAAATTCGCTAATACTTATATGTGTGATGAGAACCAAGAAATTACCATTTTACGTAGTGTACATTCATAGTCACAAATACAAAAATCTTTGTTCAGAGGATACAATCACTACAAAACTATAAAAGTTGAGAGTATAAAAGGATATAGGTTTAATAAAAAGCCCAAATATAAAATCAATGAGTTCATAAGTTGAAGTTCCGCCACATCAATATATTCCTCAATGCGTATTCCAAACAGTTTTGCGGAAGAAACGTTTCACTAGTAGTTTTAAATTTTCCAAAGGGTTAGCAACTTCACAGATGAGTGAAGATGATTATACAAATGTAAGTTCAGTGAATTTCTCTGACTAATTGTTAATTTATGTCTGGAGAAAGTTCAATAAAGTTGACCTGGATCCATATGCACGATTATCACAATGTCTGTCAAATTTGAATTAAGTTATTATGATTTCCAGGAAAACATTATTGATAAATAATGTTGATAATAGATAAATAATGCAAAATTAAATAAAGAAAGGGGCGACAACACTCTTTGTAACTTGCTTTGACAATTATTCTCATGGACTTTTTCTGACACCTAAAAACATTTATGGAGTTACCCGAATGACCCCAAATTGAAATATAAGAAATAACCGAGTGAAATAATCCACAGTGTCATCAAGCTGATCACATTATTTAATCGTCTCAGAACAAACAAAATGATGGAAAGTTTGCTAGTCACAGCTTCGATATGGTCAAACCACTTCAATTTGTTATCAATGACAAATCCTAAAAACTTATCACATACTTATTATATATTTTGAGTTTTACTTCATTCAGGCAATGCCAATAAGGAAATAGAAAAACTCAAAATTGTGGAAGATAAGCCATTTTCTTATACACACCAGAAACACTATTCATATCTTGAAATCAAATACTTGAAAGAACATTCTTGATTGCAGAGAAGGGTGAATATTCTGGTCTGACCACATCATTGATGTAGAAAATGATTCAGATAAGCATAAGATTCCACTAGCAGAAGACATGGAGGAAAAGAGGGGCCTGTAAAAAGATCATCTGAGGATGGCTGCATGTGCAAAACTGACCTACTTGGTGGAAGATGTGACTGCCGTAACATGTCAAATTGTGGCAGTACTTGCAAATTACGTATTAACGACTTCTTTTCTGAATAATACCACAATGGACATTAGACTAGTTGTTTTCTGGTAGGCATTTGCCAGATTATATTGCATGAGAACTTTGGGAGGCATAAATGTTTTATTGAATGTGGCAGTACTTGAACTTCTCATTGGTTCAGGCGACTTAAAAACAGTAAATCCTGCAAAATCTTCAGTTTTCGAAATTGAAATATGTATGAGAGTTCCCCATGAAAAGAAATAAACGAGTTATTTCTTTTACCATAGTCAGAATCGAACAACAATGCTTCAGAATTGAATTACTTCATATTTGTCCTATCAATTTCTGTTCTTTCAACTGCAGGCAGAAAACATCCCAAAACTAGTTAGTGAAAATGCATTTGAAACTGATAAAAATTCTTTTAGAGTTTTGGCATATGGGATGCTTTTTCCCTGCTTGGGGCTTTGTTCACAAGTTAGAACTGTTACAACTTCACTATAGTTGAAAAATATCCTACCTCAGACAAATTTAATGATGGTAATTTGATGGGACCCTAGAAATGTATATTCCAATATAAAAACTTGTAATTGCAGCTGAAACGAATAGAATACAGAAGTAGCATTAATAGATATACAAAAGAACACTTCCTGCAAGGAAGCCCTAGGGCTTTGTTCACGAAGTGGAACTGTTACCAGTTCTCTGAAGCTGAAACACATCCTGTCTTAGATGAAAGTTTCATATATGCAGTAGAGCATCAATGAAACCAGTCAAGTACCAGACATAATTGCTGTCTTGGTTAGACCTGTTTACATTGACGAGGAGTATTATTCTGAAACGGGTCCTGCTACTGGAGGAGCATCTGCAACGATTTGCACAATAGTTTTTTCAGGCTTATTATACTGTGTAGAAATGTTCGGTTGAATAATTTTTTGCTTGAAAACATATTTATCGTTTGTTTGCGGGTTTCAAAAACAAATATAAAATTGCCAACTGCTCAGGAATGACTTGATTTTCAAAAATAAAGTGTCAAGTTAGATTATTGAATTAACTATCAAAAAGAACTAAAAGTGGAAGTCTTTATGCGTAAATCTTTCTGGCTTTGACGTCTGTATAAGACTTTTTGTATGTCCACAATGTATAATAAATTGCCTGAATGTATTAAAAATGCCCCTTCCAAATCCAAATTCCAAAACTCTGATAATTTTCTCTCCATACATTTATTTTATAACTCCACTGTATATAAATACAAGTTATTGACCGATTAGATATCAAAGGTTTATATTAAGCAGTAAATGTTAAGAGGGATGGAATTTTATTTTTGTTGGGATATTATATTTTTAGACACTAAGTTACAAAACTTTCTACTGATAGTGAAAACAACTTGGCTGCAGTGATTTGAATTCAGTTCTGAAGAATTTCATTCAGAAAAAACATCAAATTTGGAATATATTTTCGTTTCTCTAAGGTAAGGACATGGTGATAAAACTATAATAAAATGAAATAAATAATTATGTATACTTTAAAAATTTAATATCACTATTTCACTGTGCAAATTAACAAATATATGGATTAGTAATAAAATCTACATATATTTAAGGAAAGTTACAAATATATCACAGCTAATTCTATACTTCAAAAATAAACCTCAGTGTCTTTTTGATTTAAGGATATGCAGTAGGCTGAATACATCCCTACTTAGGAGAAATTTTATATGTTGTGCCTAATAACTTGAGGATTTTACAGTAGATTTTACTAATACATCTGCAAATGAAATAACAAACAATAAAAATGAGTAATATATTTTTCTAATCAAGATATAAATAAAAACGTGATTGTATAAATAAAATTTTAAAACAAAACAATTTTGCACATCATTCGAACTTTGTCCATTGACTTTGCAAATTGACCTTATTTGTTTGAAAGGGATCAAAATTACTCTGGTTCGGAATTGTCGAAAAACTGAAATCTAAACCATACTCTTGCAAAAGATCCTGATCATTTCGACTGCACTCTATTTTTGTTCTTTGTTGAGAATGTGAATTGCTACCGTTCTGTTTCAAAGAATGGTTTTCGTATGAGTACACTGGGTTTGATATTGATAATGGAAGTTTAGAGGAATTACTTTGTAGTGAAGGTGTGGACTTCAGAGGATCAAAGTCATCTATATCTGATGTTGAATCCAACTTTATGAGGTCCTCTGTGTCTTCATTGTGCTGCAATAAAAATAGATTAGTAAAATTGACAACAAAAATATTTATTGGTAATTATATTTAAATGGTCAAATCCTGGAAAATAGATCTGACAGCATTTAATATTTGTAGAAGATCAATATCGTATATGTAAAAATATCACTAACCATAAATCAAAGCAAACAACTCGAAATTTCAGATCATTAATCGCCGTGTTCCTTAAGAATCATACAGTTAGCTGAGAAGTACGCTGTCTGTTCAAAAAATTTAGTGAATTTTCATTTTTCCCAAAAAATATTTTTCATCAATTTCTATTTTGTCCCCTCCAAAGTAGTCCCCCTCAGATATAATACGCCGTCTTTTATCGGTCTCATCAATCTTGGTAACAATAAAAAGTCGCAGGGGGACAAATCTGGTAAATACGGTGGCGCTACGACCCTGGACACAACATTATGTGATCAAATTCTTTGAAAGACCATTTTTTGTGGAGGACTCGAAAATTCTTACTGTTTTTTTGACATATGTCAAAAAGTGAATTTTATGTTTTTGATAACGGAAAAAAATCGTTTTCTAAAACCTCAACCACTAAAGAAAGCTAAGTATTGAAATTTGATTTTTTTCAATTTGTAGGCAAGATTTATGAATACAAGTTACTGACTGGACTCTTCAGTGGTTTATATTACGCAGTTACTTTTCGGGGTGAACTTTTCAGTTTTCCCTTTATTTATTTACCAAAAAAAAACTAAGAAGTGATCACATTGTTTGTGACATCAGAGATGAAACTCTGCAGTGTCGGTAAAATCACTCTTAAAGTTATCAAGAGATGTGTCTGGCTCATGAGGAACAACTAATAAAATAAAAGGGACTATATGTGTGTAGGCGAAGCTTATTATTATCATTATGTTGTGTGAAACCTTTCAAATGAATAAATAAAGTTATTATTATTATAGTCAAACAGGGGTACCTCAGGAATCGTTACTGGAACCACTGTTTTTCCAAATCTTCATAACCTACACTATCACTATAACCTAATCATTCTCTTTTATATTAACTTTTGAAGTAACAGAGAACTTTACATTTTCGTAAAGGTACTGAGAAGTCATAAACAAGGTATCAAAATGTAAAACAAGCTTAGTATAGCTCTTTATATACAATTTAGATCCTTTATCGAGCAGCCTTGGTAATTAAAAGTTTTGCGAAAATGGCCATTACCTTCCGCCTAGGCAGACACGTAGGGGGTGACAGTTTAACGATATCAACCGAATGCTGGTTAGCGACAAAAAACAAGGGATCTCCATTTTCACTGTGCCCACCACCAACGACAAAAGGCGTACTGCTAAAGAAATCCCTACTATCATCTCTAGGCGGCACTCTAGGAGGTACTGGAGGGGTAAGGAAAATATCGTCTGGGGATTGCAGGAGGTTTTGGGTTTCCTGGGAATGACCAAGATTCTGAAGGAAAAAGCAATTAGATGGTGATGCTGCCGTTGCGCTAATACGGGTATTCAATAGCCATCGATCTGGGCTGTTTACTGGTGAGGTGTTTTTGAAGTTTTCCAGGCTTCTTACTGGCTTCAACTGTAAGCGAAACAAGCAATAGAGACATTTGAAACAAATAATAACACCAAAAAAAACATATTTATACATTTCAAGCATCAAATGTACTTGTTGAAAGTTCACATACAAAGTATCTTTATAAATGAAATGCTTATCAAATTATAATCTTTTCAACCCAAGTGAAATCGTATGTCAACAAAAATTACCGAAAATAATGAGAAATCAATGCCCTGGTTGTTATTTTCAATAAGCAAATGAAGAGGAACAGAAGTCAAATTGAAGATAAAAAAAGCAATGTATAGACAATAGTAAAAATGAAATTGAAATGAAGATTTGGAAAAAAATATTGCACTGCAAATTATAGTGATCATTACTCACTGATCTATCTACAGGAGGAGTATCAAGGCGTAACTGTAATAAGTCTTCCATCTCATTCATCAAATCAATTTGGGGTATTTCAACAGGGCTACTGCTTCTTGGAGTATCCAATTCATCAGGTGATAATGGTGGAGAAGAGTGACCAAGTGGACTGTAGGATCTATAATATCATCGTGTTCACAAATTAAAAAAAAACTAATAATCCTACATCAGTAACTCAAAAATACTAAGATATCAAATGGCAGATTTTTTTTATCCTCGATAAATAACCGTCTATAGTTGATTATCGAATATGCAAAATATTTTTTGGAAGTGACAGTTTTAGAAAGTGATAGAAGCAATATCAATTCAAACAGATAATTGCACTCACCACCAACGTGTCCGAATTTAGCATCGTTAAAAATCTCCGAGTCAAGGTTACCAAATGTGAATACTTCATACATTTAATCTGTGGGTTTTAGATTCCCATCAGCTTGGTAACATTGAATCAGATTCTGTAACCTCTTTTTGGATTTACTACTGTGTTGGATACTATTGTTATTATGCTTGTTTTCGACAGTGAACATTGAATGAAATTACATTGAAATTTTGCTATTTTTGTGAGGAGATTCATCAAAGGAATGATAATAATTACATTTATTGCCCAACAAATTGTACAGTTCCCCTACTGGACAATATTAGAACAAAAAATATGTACAAAAACAGACGAATTCAGTAAAACAGTTTATGACAAGGAATATTACATAGAATCACAGTTGCCAGCACCCAAGTGGCTCCAAAATAGCATAATAGTGACTCATCTTATACAGAAAAAGTGACATTGGGGTGAATTTTCCCAACCAATTCACGAAATTTTGCGAAAGCTAGTCGTAACGAAGGAAAAGACAAAATATGGAAAATTTCAGCTAGCTTTCAAAGATAAGCTTTAAAAGACATCACTTTTCACGTCATCAATTCTCAAAATCAAGAGGGGGGTCGGGACAAGGTAGTTATGGTCGCATGAATACTACTGGAGTTTTTTCGCAACACCAAACCGTTATTTTAACACCTCGACATGTGTTTCGATCACAAAGTGATCATCTTCAAGAGGAAGATCAAACGTTTCTTGTAGTACTCCCCAGCCACATTTCTCATAGAATTCGCTCCTGTTATCATTTCTTGAGCTACTTTCACTACTGTCAATTCAATCTTCTATGCATTTTCAAGGTTTTTGTCCGTCTTTCAATTTGATGGGCGACTTTTCACTTTCACTGTCTCCTGATTCTCTTTCATGTTCTTTTTGAGACGACTCAAAGATTATATTTTAACCTTGACCTCTTTTGTGGGGCTTCTTTCTATTTATATCAGGTTTCCATAATTATTTTTATGCAATTGACCAAATTGAAGGCATTGAAATTCAGAACATCTTCAATAATAAATCCAGTTTCACAGAGTTTTTTTTTTCAGTATTGTTTGACAATGCAAGAAAGACACGTGCACAGAAAGACGAACATAACAATATGTATTGTAGAAAATATACATTTACTAACCGTTTCCTAATTTATTTAACAAATTTTGCAAGATAAATGTTTGAAGGCCAGAACATGAAAGTAAGTTTTTTATTCAAATTTGTCATTTCTTTGTTATCATATTGAAAAATTATTATACAACACACACTTCATAGATTTACAACAATCTAAACCTATGCAATTGGGAAACTGTAGTTTCTATCAATGAATACAATCAATTGGGAAGTGGATATTTGCGAAACGTCAAATGATATTGGAATTTATGAAATTACTAACCTCTGCATAGATGAACTTTTTAGAGCCATTGCTGCATCTTTTCGATATGTTGTAACTGCTGTTATTGTACGTCGTTTGCCAGTAGGAGAATTTGGTGCAGAATGGTGCTTCTCACCTCTGTCTAGGCCATTTTCCAACTGATGCGGGCTTTGATTGTCTTTCAGCTTGGAACGCAAACCTTTGTAAGCACTTTTCATCCCTTTACCGCCATCTTTCACCTAGAAGAATTGAAATTTGGTATCATTTTTAAAGAAATCTACAACGTCCACAATCGACAGCATGAAAAACTTGATGAAATTTTACTTGTGACGGAATATATTTCCCCTAGTTAATTTTGCTCGAAAAACCTCTGTGGAAATTGATTCAGATAATAAAGAGAAACACACCGTTTTGACTGCAGATTTCATAGCAGGATTAGCCTAAAAAATTGAAAAGTAATTATCTGTAATTGTGAAAAAAGGAAGTCATTACCTTATCCTTTACACTTTTGAAAAATGCAGTTCCCTCCTTTTTCATCGTCGATGTCCATTCTTTATACTGTTGTTTCAATTTAGAACCCGATTTTGCAGAGTATCTCTCAATTTCAAATTCAAATTCATCTGAGAAGCCTTGACCTGTATTCAGCATTGTAAGACGTTCCTCTATAAACTGGAGAAAAGTAAATCAGTAAAAAAACGTAAATATCAAACCCTTATAGTTTAGACTCGCGACTTAATTATTTGGGACATCAGATATGTATATTATATTGAAATTAAATCGTAAACTAACAACGGAATTATATGAATCTTATCATGTTTGAAGTATAAATCGGTAAAACAAAGAGATAAGAAGTTCTTCAATGTTAGTACTATATTTATTTCCATTAATTTCTCATTTCAAGGAATACCTCCCAATTTTGTATTTCCTGAGGAAAATGCATTTATACGAGATAATTTTTTATGACACACTAACAAAATTTTTTCATGCAACTACAGAGTTGAAAGTGATTGAAAATTAACTATATTAAAAAATATGCATATTCTGGTGGAGATGAAAGAAATCATAAAAATTTCAAAATGAAATTTTGAAATATTCATCTCTCCCAACTAGGGGACGGCAAGTAGTTTTAGGTAACTGTGGGAAAATTTTGACAAGGTCCAGAAAAAAACAACTGATGAAAATTAAGTGCTACCTATTCTGAATTATAGAACACAAGACCTGAAATTAATGTGGGAAATTACACCGACGGTCTTGAGCCAGTTTTTTATAGTTCCAAATTCCAAGTGTGTCTTCTAGGTGGGCGACCGTTAATCTCGAACGAGCCAAACATAGTGGCCAAATTTATAGCTGGTTTCTTGCAATTTTCATATTTTTCTGGAACATGTTTGGTCCGAAATTCTTCAGTGGATGCCGTTTTATATATTTGCAAATCATATTCTGGCAAATCAATTATCTCCATTTTCAGAAGTTCAAGAAGAGTGTTTTTAATATCAGCAGCAAAAATTTCCGTTTTTCGTGTATTACTTCTCACTGATAATGGAATACTTTGAAATGCAGCGACATCTTTTTTTCTTCAAAAAGTGCCGTGACTACTTCCAACATATATTTTTTCACCTTGATAATAATATAACCTTCAAATAATAGTTTATTTTGTGGAAAAGAAGGCTGAAAAGTTGCCCTTTTCAGAACTTTGAAGGGCCATAACTTTGTAAATAAGGGAGAGCGCCGCTTTTATCTTTCGGATTCGTAATCTACGCATCAAAATAAGTAAGTACACGCAAACATTTTTTCAAAATCGCCGGGTGTCCTCAAAATGAAAATTTACCCTTCAAATTACCACTCTTAACAATAGCGGCAGTTTTACTGCATATAAGGCGCACTGGATCCGCTTGAGGCCTATTAGGCAGTGCCAAACAATATTGTTCAGTCAATTCTGCCAGAAACCTCCTATTTTCACTGTCCACTTCACGCTTTTTAGAATCCATATTAGCATAGGTACGAAAATATTATGAAAACGCGAAAAATCACCAAACAAATGAATGGTTGCTCCGCGGTTTGCGCTACGACTGACAATCTGCTTCCCCCGCTCGCACCCCCGATTTTGATACTCGCTCGCGCTTGTTTCAACAAAACAAAATAGTGGCAAGCGCACACAAACACACATACACACAGGGTAGTTGGAAACTAATAAAACCATATCAGTTGTAGGTACTTGTGAAACAGGTTGACTAGGCAACTTGAAATAAAATAAGTATATACTTTGTTGAATTCTATGTGGCTTAAAAATATTACTTCAATTAATAAAGGTATGGTATACCTTATCTACGTATTAATTTTTATACTTGGTATATAACACATTACAATATTTGGTGGTCCGATGTTCGACTTTTCGCGGTCCGTCTGTTGCCGACCGCTGATCTACACCATAGGTTCTGGTAAATGACTGTCGGAAAACAACTACTTCGCTGGCTAATACAACGCTGGATATTGAATAACATCCGACAGACATTAATAATAATAATCCAAGCAACAGGACCGTGCTGAAATTATTTGTGTAAATCACCTACAGAGTGGTTGCGAGTTATTACCTATCATCAGTGCGGGAAAGATCCGACCAAACAGCAAAGTTGCTGGGACTCGAATAATTTCAACGCGGCTCAACTTCATCTATGAAACCTTCTTCTTAGAGAAAAATTGTTAACTAGCAACAGCTCCATCTCGTGAACAAAGCCTCAAGCGGGGAATAAACATTCCATGTATCAATACACTAACAGAGATCAAACTGTGTTTGAAGACTGTATCGAGGAGAGATACCTGAACTGTAGGTTTTGGTAAATGTCTGTCGGAGAACAACTACTTCTCCGGCTAATACCACGCTAGAGGTAGTTGGGAGAGATGAATATTTCGAGATTTTATTTCGAAATATTCATTTTCTAGTACATCTCTCTTCGATACGGTCTTCAGATACAGTTTGATCCCTGAAAAATTGTCTTTCCCAAAGATAGAATTGTGAAATGTTTCTTTTCAATGGTGTTTCAATATCAGATGCTATTCAATCAACCAAATTCATTGAAAATATTTTCGAAAGTAAGGAACAATGTATTGGGATATTTACAGATCTAACAGCTGTACTAGAGACTGTGTTGATCATGAAGCACTTCTAGTTAAAATGAGTTATTACGGTATACATGGAAAATTATTTCAGCTATTCAACTGATTTCTTAATAGTCATACACAAATGATTGAAAGTAAAAATGAGAGAAGTCAACAGAAGCAAATCAAAAGAGCTGTACTACAGGGATCTGTTTTGGGGCCAACAATTAGCCTGAAAACATTTGCCAATACTGTACCTGCTGAAATATTTGTAAATGCAACATTTCTTTCAAAAACGGTTGTAGGGACATAGGTCTTGTTTCGATAAACCTTTGTTCATCAAAGGTTACTTTCTGTCCAGGCTGAAACTTTAATGCATCTCTATATCCACCTATCAACTGAACCAATGCTCTCAAAAATGCCCTAGAGACACCATCTCCCAGTTGTTTGTTTTTGAATTGCTTCCTCAAAGAACTCACCTGCAATAATATATTGGTTTCAGAGGATATTTGGAATTTATACTCATGTCATGCTTGTGACAATAGTGATGATGAACTTCTTGTTTATCATACTCACCACTTCCTGAGGAAGGCTATCCAAGTCATCAAAAGGGGTTTCAATTGTATTAGCATCAGCATCTAATATCACGACATCTCCGATCTCACTTCTTCTTACTTGCTAAAAAAGAAGGAAGTGATTTGAGAAGGAATTTAACGGATTTTTATTGAATTTGATAACATGAAATTATTGAACAATATGAAACTATAATACTGCAAGTGACTAATTTTAAATATTATTCAATGTCCCCAACCGACCACATGGAAAAATGACCTTTTTTTGTGTAGCTTTCACTGTAAGGTATTTCACAAATGCTTTGTTTGAGGGCTTCGGTTTCAAACAAAAGTAAGGTTTGAAAATCATGTTACTAAAAAATATTATCGAAGTCACTCATACCTTAAAAACTTCTTCTGGAACTCCAATTAGAAATGGCATCGGTGCTAAGAGATAATCTATGAGAGACATTGGCAACACTGGTATGAAAATGTGTTGCCATATCATTGGGTAAATGATATCGTTGGCTGATTGAACACAGGCACTTAGTCTCTTCAGTTTTTTTGAACGAAATATTATCCTCCTTTCGAATAACATCGATGCAAAAATTACCATCATGTTGTGTGTGTCGACGGCATTGAAATACTCGGTGAGATTCCTCTAAAATATGAAATTTTTTTATTGAATGGAGCGTTCAACCTTTTGTTGGATAAATTTTGTATCGATTTTATACTTACATTTTCAGGTATACTGGGCAACTGAAATGGTCTTGGAACATCAACTGAAAAACTCTAAAAAGTAATGTTTCATTTAAATGTTTTTTGAAGGTAGCACTATGGGAATATGTGGTATACATACACTTTCACCTCTATTTAGTAGAACTACGAATTGTCTTCCTGGTTCCGCTATCTTTGCATTGTATACTGCTGTTAAAAATTCTCTGAGATCTTCGCTTCTCGAACTATGCATTAATACTGCAGTGGTATCTAAAAATCTAAAATACAATTGTATTTTTTTCAAGAATATAGCCTCATTTTGGATGAACACGTAACACGTCAGTTGCACTAATAATTATACACACATAGTCAGTGGGCATACTTGAAGACTGGCTATAAATTGATTTATAGGCTATATGTGAAGTTTTCTTTCCTTATACGAGGAATTGGGCAAATTTCGGATATGCAGTTGATTACTTCGTTCACAAGCAGATGGGGCGACGACAACCCTGTTATTTGTTGTATGCTTCAGCTTAGTTCGAGGAATGATACTCTGAAGGAATTTGATTTTCAATTATCGGAAATCATCGACTTTATGTTGATGATATACACTACCTTGCACTGACGAGTGGCCAAACAGCCCGAAACCGGTCTGCAAATGTGTTCCAATAATTGAAAATCTATTGCGGCAGTTGTATCGCCAACAGCATATGCAGGAATAACTTTAGTGAAGAATCCTGCACTGACACCTGTCGGATATAATCCAACGCCCTTCGTGGTATTAGCCAGGGGAGTAGTTGTTTTCTGATACGTGTCAGTCCATTAACCTACAGTGTAGGGAGTTGAGACTGGCCTGAACGAATTGTTCTTTTAGATGATTTGGTCTAATATTTATTAAAATTCACTACGAGTCAAGGCATGCTGTTGACTACCAAAAAGCACTGCCTTGATAGCATACTAGTGGCTGCAAAAAGTCAATAATTAGGCGAGTTCAAGTTCAGCGAGAAACCTTCTTTTTTAATGACAAGAGTCTCCGCGTTTCGTAGATAATTCGCCGACCGCGGTGGAATCCTTCTGGAAGTACATTTATGAATATCCGCAGCCATGCGAACTAGACACTCCAGCCCTAGGGCAGTTCAAAGCTTTCTGTAGACAGCTTTGACAGCCTAAGCTCAATGAACTGCGCAACCCGATAACCCTGATGATATTTGAAAAATTTTGCTGCTTCAGGACTCTCTCCGTCATCAACCAGTGGCTTGAACTCATGACTTGAAAAAGCAGTTAATTTCGGATTGGTTTGTCAAGAGGCAGACTAATTTTATCCCAAAAAATGATGATTTGTCTAATGCTAATAATTACAGACCAATGACATACTTAAATTCGTGTTATGAGTTGTTTACGAGCATCGAACACACACGATTAGTGTCCGAGTATTCGAACGAATATATGAGCAGAGAGGATCAAAGAGAGGAATCGCTACATCAATAGATATATTATGTAACGCAGAATTCGGATTCGATACATTATAAGCATAACCTGTATATGACCCTCTATGATGGAAGAGTATATCGGTATAGAATTCAGGAAAAACAAATGTGCAATGGTCCATCTCAAAATAGGACGATCTGGAGACTTCAGAGAGGATGCACGGCTTGTAGACAAAAGCATCCTGCATCATCTGGATGCCAATGAAACGTATATTTACTTTGGATTGGAACAACGCCACTCACATGAGGTAACCTCATTGAAAAACTCTCTCTGAAGCAAGTAACTGCATAAACTCCGACAGATCTGATCATCGAAACTGTCGAGAAAAAACAAAGTTGCTAATACAAATGAGAAGTGCCGAATTTAGTGAAATTATTCATTTCGCACCATCCGGTTAATTAAAGTTGAAAAGCCTAATGTAGTATTTCACGACCATGAAAGTAAAACGATATTTGTCTTGGAATTTTCATTTCCGTGTGAGATGAATGTTATCTGAAAAGAGGGGGAAACACGAATGAAATATCGAGATTTTCTCTTCAAACTAGGCAGGCTCTATCACTTTGTTAATATTATTGGAGTCCTTGGTAGAAAAATCACCTCATTACTCCCGAACCCAATAATCACCAGTTTCTAGAACTGTCCTGATCAACATATATAATAGTTTGTAATAATATGTGGCGTCATTCAAAAAACACAACTGAAACTTCAGAATCATTAAATTAGCAAATACTTTTATTTGAGCTTTGGAATTCTGGCAAAGAATTATTTTCCTTTAGCAATCATATTTTTGAAATTGAAAACAAACATTTTTGACAAAATGATTAAGGCTTTCGTGGCCGAGATTTTCGGGTTTGAAGGCCGTCGATTTTTGGAATTTCTTTCTGACGTTTCGCCGACGCGAATGGCTTGCTTCTTGAGAGGCTCACACATCTTGAGTTCATCTCTTGTGTTTCCATTTTTCCTCTCCGTAGATATTTTTGACAAAATGTTTAAGGTTTTTTCAAAAACTACACCTCACGATTTGTTCTTCACAAACTTTATTTTGAAAAATATATCACATTTTTCGCACAATAGTAGCTACTGTGCTAGCGAAACATGTGATATATTTTTCAAAATAAAGTTTGTGAAGATCCAATCGTGAGGTGTAGTTTTTGAAATTACTATGGATCTTCATCAAGTAACGGCCGAATCAATCAGAAAAAAAAATGTTTAAGGCTTTTCAGTGTCTCTATTTTTATTCGGGATTGAAGGCCAACTATTTTTGGATTTTTTTCCTGACGTTTCGCAGGCGCGAGTGGCTAGCTTCTTCAGAGGTTCATTACTACAGTTTACATTAATATTGAAGGAATTTATTGATTTAGATATCGTTTTCATAGAATCAGCGCTTTTTGAATCACTTCAATTTCATCTAATGGCTTGATTCAGCAGAATTCGATACATGCACCATCTATCAACATACGCTATCAGGTGAATTTTCATTTTTCTCAAAAACTATTCATTTATTCATCAATTTCTACTTTGTTTCCTTGAAACTAGCCCCCCTCAGATATAATACACTTGTGCCAGAGTTTTTTACAATCCACAAAGCAGTTCTGATATGCACTTTTTGGTATGTCCTTGAGTTTCCTCAGCAATTCGGTTTTTATCTCCTCAATCGTCGCAAAACTCCGTCCTTTCATGTGACTCTTCAATCTTGGGAACAGAAAAAATTCGCAGGGGGACAAATCTGATGAATACGGTGGCGGAGACATGATTACGGTGTTGTTTTAGGCAAAAAAAAACTGTCAACAAGCAATGACGAGTGAGCAGGTGCATTATCGTTATGCAAAGGCCATACATTGTTTTTCCACAATACTGGACGTTTTCTTCGTATTGCTCATCGCAAGTGGGGCATAACTACAAGATAATATTCCTTATTGACCGTACTGCCATGTGGCAAGAACTCCTGATGCACTACGCCACGGTAATCGAAGAAAACAGGGGCAACATCTTGTCATTTGATCGAATTTGGCGCACTTTTTTTAGGTCTTGATTACCCTATTGGAGCGATTGGATTTTGGTTTCGGTGTCATAACCATATACCCACGATTCGTCACCAGTTATGACCCAGATTCGAAGAGTCTCCATAACAATTTTATTCACTTTCCTAATATTTTCATCGGTTGTTGATGTGCTGAGACGTCCAGGGTAATCGACGTCATTCATATCTTCCCGAAAAGCTTGTACCACTTGTAAGCATTTTTCTGACTCAGAGTACAATCACAATCAATTGAATTATCACTTCATTTGTGGCAAAATGAAGCCTTTTTTTACTATAAGTAAAAATCCTGAAATCATAACGACCGTGAAATTTTCAAAAATGATACTTTTAATCTTTATATTCCAGTTTTGCCACCCGGTATATTTGAGAAAGTGCCACAATTTTTGAAAGGGCGATAAAGTTTTAAAACCACAGAACTCGTAAACTTGCAAATGAGGCATCTAGTTTGAAAACCAGATAAATCACCAATTTTTTTGATATTGATGTGAAAAATATCATTTCCTTTTTGATAGCTGTAGATTGTCTATGATATTTATAACTATATCTCATGAAGGTTCGTTGATTTCATTAAAAACATTTATTTTATTAGTCACCTGAAAAAACTGAAAGTTTAGTTCTGTGGTTGAAACGTCTCCGTTTTACCTAACCTGTAAAACAATTTGACCTGACGCGACGTACCGGATCTGATTCAATTGAATTAAATTGTACCAATTAATTTAAATAAATATTTTACATGTCACCCGGCTGGGAAAGAAGTGAAATTATTTTAGTCTGGAAGCCCGTTGTTCTGTCACGTGTGAAGGTCACTTCATGTTTTAGATTGTTGGGTACCATAATTTTCTAAATATTCTTCTATTCATTCGTAATCTTTCAATTTTGTTAGGCAAATTTTGTGAAAGAATGGATCATAAACTGTACGTCACGTACCATGTCCAAACGGAAATCATAGTATTTTTTCGTCAATGGACACTGACCTAGAATAATGTCATTGGCATGCCCGGTACTTTACTCCGGATGTTCAATGGAGAATTGTTGTGATTATTTCAATTCAGGGTGCGACATAACTTTCACATTCATGAGCATAATGGAACAGAAACTTTTGACTGAAAACTATTAACTGTTTGAAGTGTTTTTGGCTTTCTTTTTTTGTTGTTCCATCCGTTTCAAAATTATTCTGTTTTATCGTCGAAACAATGAGGTCAGATGATTAAGTTTTCAAATAGATAAGACTAGAGTTGAGTAATTTATTGAGCATTTCAAATACTATATTTTATGGGAAGTTAGGCAATGTTATAACATTTAAACACAGCATATTATCCGGTCAATTTAGACATCCGGGGGTAAAAAATTTGTACCCAGCTCAAAGTTGGTAGGATTGTTCAAAACGCCATCATAAATGAAATCTAAAAAATCCTCACCGATCCGATAAGTGGAAAAAAACTACTCGAGTCAAAGGTCACAAGAGGGGTTTTCACGGTTTTCAGAAAAACGGTCAGTTTTATCATTATATTAGTTCACACAAAAATGTTTGATCACATAATGGTAATAAGAAATGCCTTTATTGTTCACAACTAATAAGGTTCAACAGTTAATGAACAGTAAGGACAAAAATATGAATAAGTTGGAAACAAAATGCGAAGTGCAATTTTTATAACGATGAATCGTTATTAATTGCTCTTCCACTTAACCTCAAAAAAGTCGCTGCGGTGTTATAAGAAGAGCATTATTATAAAATAATCCGTTCTACTGTAATCAAGGCATGGTATGATGAGAATAATAATAAAATAGATCACCGAGTTTCAAATTAATATTTCTTAAATCTAATTTAAAATCGCTGAAGCCTACTCTTTTTGATTATTTCAGGAATATTATTATAGATTGCGCAAACTTGATAACTTAAACTGCGTCTGAAAAGTTCAAGTCGAAAACCAGGAGGGGTCAACAAACCTTTATTTCTAACACTGAGGTTGTGAACATCTGTCCTATGAGTAATTTTTCTATGCAGATAGGAGTTTTGATCAGTATGACTTTATAGAAGAGTAATGCAGAATGAAGAACTCTTCTATTACTCATATTCAACCAGCCAACAGTTTTAGGTTTGTGTGAAATTCTTTGACGTCTCTTATGCCATAGATTAACCTCAAGCAAGAATTTTGAAGTTTTGATTTATATTGACTAGTTAAACATGGACCATAGAGCACATCTGCATACTTATGC